AGCAGCAGCAAACTGCATGCGCCAACGCCCCAAGTAAAAAAAGTAAGAGAAAGACAGCCGCAGCAGCAGCAGCTGCAGCAGCAGCAGCTGCAGCAGCAGCAGCTGCAGCAGCAGCAGCAGCAGCAAAAGCTGCCGGCCCTCTCGCAGAGGAAACTGAAGCAGCAGAAGCAGCAGCAGCAACAGCAGCAGCAGCAACAGATGCTTCACCTCTAGGCAAAAGCAGCAGCAGCTACGAAGACGCAGCAGCAGCAGCAGCAGCAGCAGCAGCAGCAGCAGCAACAGCAGCAGCAGAGGAAGCAGATACAGAAAAGCAGCAGAAGAAGAAGCGTAAGAAGAAATATTTGAAGCAGCTTACAGCGTGATGCAGCAGCAGCAGCAGATGCTGCTGCTGCTGCTGCAGCAGAAGCAGCAGCAGCAACCGCTGCAGCAACAACAGCACCACATGCTGCAATTGCTGCAGCAGCAGCAGCAGCAGCAGCAGCAGCAGCAGCTACTGCTGCTGGTGTGCGCAGAGCAATGAACTTTCATTTTGTCTCGCCAGTGTCTACTACACTGGTTGGAATTTGTGAGGGTTTAGGGTTTAGGGTTTAGGGTTTAGGGTTTAGGGTTTACGGATCTTTAGGGTTTAGGAGTTGATACGTTAGGGTTTAGGGTTTAGGGTTTAGGGTTTAGGGTTGTATATGCAGCTTCTGCTGCAGGCAGCTGCATCCGAGTTTGCTGCATTTTGCTGCTGCAGCTCAGGGGCTAGGGTTTAGGGTTTAGGGTTTAGGGTTTCCTAGGGTTTAGGTTTTCTTAGGGTTTAGGGTTTCTTAGGGTTTAGGGTTTAGGGTTTAGGGTTTTGAGTTTTCGATAGCACAGTAGAAACTGCCGTTTAAAAGAGGGGGTTTCCCCCGAGGGTTTAGGGTTTAGGGTTTAGGGTTTAGGGTTTAGGGTTTGGGGTTTAGGGTTTAGGGTGCAGCAGCTCGCTGCCTCGTCTCTGCTGAATATAAAATAATAATAAAATAAATAAATATACATTTTTCAGGGTTTAGGGTTTAGGGTTTAGGTCTAGGGTTTAGGGTTTAGGGTTTAGGGTTTAGGGTTTGCATCACCACCACCAACCCCACCACACCGCG